GGTTTGCCAGCGTGGCTAGGACCCATAACCCTGCATCCTCATTTTAAAATGCCCCACGACGCGGGCGATCACGCGCAAGTCCCAACAGTCTCCCTCAGGTGAGGGTATGCAAGTAATCCGACGTGTGCATTTGCGGTATGGCGCTGATGGGGTCATGGAGATGGGATGAGTGAGCATCGTCTTATGTTGTGCCTGCATGGCTGCTCGTCATCGCCGCGCGACTGGACGGACAAACCGGGCGCTAGGAGCCAGCCCCGGTAACGCCTTCCCCAGGAGTGTACCTCGCGATCGAGATCCAACGGTATTCGACGTCAGGCATCATGTCATACCACATGCGTCGCCCGCCATGACGGATAGCAGCACGCTGAAGTCGAGATTGAAGTCATAGAGATGACCTGCTTCGGAGTCTTACGGCTCAGGAGAGCAGGTTACGTAGTGTCACCACATTCAGCACCGAGTCCAGGCTCATCGGGATGCCTCCGATCAAGCTTCAGCATGGCAAGGGTAGGATGCATGCCCCAGGGTGGTGTTGTGGTCTCAGCTTCTCAGTGACGCTGCTTGCCCAGCCAAAGACGGTGTGTAAACTTGTATCCTCATTCATGCGGAGAGCGCATCTCATATTATCCACTATCGTACCGCCATATTACAATCATGTATTCTTCAAAAACGTCAACGTCGTGCAAGTACGACTGAAAGTAGCATGACCTTCGCCTTCTAGATGCAAACATAAAATGCAACGCCTGGTATCAACCGTGAAAATGCAATAAGAAACCACCATCCAAGCTCAGCCAGCCTCAAATGCATTAGTCAAGTTCGCCCGAGAACGTCTGTCGACGCATTGCCGGGGTCCCGATGTTGTTAAGCGGGATGCCGAAATCGTCTTCTTCAGCCCAGTCAGCATCATCATCTGACTCCCAAGCACATGGAATCTTCTCAGCGCGGCGTACGCGGTATGTGATAAAACCGAACCCATTTGAGATGCTCGTAGCGATACGGAGCATGACGGATACCAGGTGTGCGGGTGGCCCCAGAACAAGCTCGCACGTCTTGCTCACCAAGGCATTTGTGAAGTCTCTGCCTGGGTTGTGCTTGGGTGGGCAGAAAAGGTTCTGCGCTGGAGGCATAGGAGAGAAGGCACGTCTCTGTGAAGCACCTGTGAGCTTCCTCATACGAATGGCATCCGGTGGTGTAGGTATGTCTATGCTAGCACGCCCGAGGCTGTCGTCGTCGGAATCGCTCATTAGCGGTGGTGTCGAAGGCGCTGATGACGGTCGTCCATCGATCGAGGTCACCGCGGACGGATAGTATGGGGCAGTAGGAGTCACAGGTGCGGATGCATCAGTACGCTCGGTGGATGGGCCGCGGACAGTAACCTCAGATATCTGACGTCGGTGTATCGAACGGCCCCTGGGCTCATCTTGCTGCTTGGAAAAGACTTGTGCCCATGGGTTCACGATATCAGCCTCGGCATCGAGAAACTTGGGAGAAGGACTTCGCGGAGTAGCAGTATCCAGAGAGTAGAATGAGTCTGCGCTTGAGGCCAGACTCAAGGCATCCGAAATCTGGCGTTCCAGTATGGGTTTTTCAGCCTCGGTGGGTTGCTTTGCTGCTGGAGACTCGACTATACGTTCCATGGCCGATACCGATTCTCTCCTGGGCGCTCGGATGGGCGCCGTAACTGACCGCAGGCCTTGAAACATGCTGGCGCGTTCCGCTACCGAGGGGCGACGTTGAGGAGATCTGGATGGGAGGGGCTTTGGTGCTGTTCTCGCCAAAGGGGTCTCGGGTGCGGCCGGCACTATTTCGCTGCTGTCAGTACAGACGCTCGACCGGTCGTCCTCTTCGTTTGAAGAAGTAATACCAGTCTCTGAGCTCATAGTACCAGCAGTAGAAGGCCGTGAACCATGTTGCTGCGGAACCCAGGTCTTGTCCATGACCCACTTCTTTGCCTGCCCTGAGGGCTTCCTCTTGATCGTCTTGCGTGGGGGGCTCTTTGGGCGCTCGAGCTCTGCGACGACCTCGAACCCGCGCGCAAACGGACACTGCGTCCTCTCGTACTGCATGACTTGAGCCAATACTGACTTGAATTGCGTGATCTTGTCCTTGTCATCGTCCGTCTCATAGGGGAGCTCGATGCGATAGTACGAGTCCTGGCGTACGCGCAGCACGAAGACGGACTGATTGTCGACAAGCCATATCTGAGACCTGGGAAAGATGGTGTGCAGGAGGTTGCCGCTATTCAGGAAGGAGACGTTGGAGGCTGTCACACGATAGATACGGAGAGCGCCTGTGATAGGTTAGACAAGTTCCAGCCCGGTGACACATGGGATGGCATACCGACTGCGAGTGTGCGCTCTGTAGGCGTCTTCCAGGGTATCGGATGCGCTGCGTCACCTGAGCGGGAAGGTGACAGGCGCCGAGCGGGCCCAGCTGTTGTGAAGGAGAAGATCTTGGAGTTGGAGCACACAAACAGCGTCTCTATGCCATCGGCGCTGTTTACAGACGGTGCAGGCACCGACGTAGTCCTCCGTGCAGTGCGCGCGGGCAGTGTGAAGCTGCGCCTCGAGTTGCTGGGGTTGAGAGCAGACGGCGCGTGCTCAGGATGCTGGGATGAAGCCGGCATCGTCATAATAGACTTCTTATAGGGGCATTGCTATCCCGGCAGGGCGAGGTCGAGGTGAAGGATCCCACAGAAGACAGCGGCCGGCGCTTGGTGAGAGTATTACAAGTGTTAGTGCGGAGATGGGGGGTGATGGAGAGGCTGAAGGGATTGGAAGTCCCTGGCTTCGGAACGCTACGCGCTTTGGCCACAGGGACGACTTGGAGTTTCAACCTGATCAGCGGATCGTCTGAACCCCGCGCGCGTCCAGTTGCCAGTTATGCCGCCGGTGTGAGATGGGACGCTGCAGATGGGTGCGTGTTTTGTTGGTGCGACGGCATCCCCTATCAACAACGCGTTACTTGCTTTGTTTGCGACGCGCTGCGCTACGACGGGTCCGTGGGGAGCTGTCAGTACGTCATGGGCTCCGCCAGTTCGCAGGCGTTCGCACACGCCCTCTACGTGGACGCAATCCACGTTTGCTGCGCCGAAAGCAACACCAGACTGCCTGAGCCTCTGTCGAGCTTGCCACCATGGACAAAATCGACATGTCCCAGTTCGACGTGTCCAACTTCGACCCCAACGCCATCCTGCGGGGAGCCCAGCTTACTCTGGTTGGCGGTAAGTCGAGGCCATCATGGTATCGTGAGTGACAGCTCCATTCTGACACCGCCGCAGTCAATCGAGCTCTCCAGAACCCGGGTCTCTTCACTTCGGACCACTACCGTCAGGCTGCTATTGCTGTAGCTGCAGGCGTCGCCATCCGCATCATCGTCGCCATACCCGTACGTCTCAACCATTCACGGATGCCCTATGCCACGCAAACATTACCTCTAACATAGCCAGATTGTCGGCGTCAGAGTGCTACTATGGATCCTCTCTCTATTCGTCAACATGGACCACACGAGCATGGACGAGAGTGTCGTCAACGGCCTCCACTTCCTTGAGCACACCGTCCTCCAGGTGCCCTTCTTCCTCATGACCATGATGCGCTACGTCACACCTACTCTGGATCGCATGTAGGCACGCTCGTAGCCGTTTTGAGATCTAGCTGACAACGTCTCCAGGTTCATGGACTCCCTCCGTTGGGTCGACGAGACGTACGTTCAGAAGCACAAGAGCGAAGACCCCCACAACCTCCGCGCCATGTACTACCCAAACCTCGAGAAATACCCCGACCACGCACCCAAGCCCGAGAAGGAGAAGAAGCCCATCAAACAGGCTATAATGCTATATGCGACAAAACAGGGGAGGAAGGCGGCCATTTCTTTGGCAGTACTGGCCTTGTCTTACGTTCCATATGTAGGACGCTTCGTGCTGCCCGCTGCCAGTTTCTACACATTTAAGAAATCAGTGGGAACGCAGCCCGCAGCAGCCATCTTCGCGGGATCACTGCTGTTCCCCCGCAGATACCTCGTCAGCTTCCTGCAAGCTTACTTCTCATCGCGGACTCTTATGCGAGAGTTGGTAAGCATCCACTCAGCGAAGTCCACGTTCAACTGGCTAATTCAAACAGCTTGAGCCCTACTTCACACGCGTTCGCTACAACAAAGAGCAAAAGAAGCTCTGGTTCAAAGACCGAGCTGGTGTGCTCTTTGGTTTCGGCCTAGGCTTCTACATCTTTGTCAAGATACCCCTCGTCGGCGTCCTCATCTACGGTCTCGCCGAAGCGTCCACGGCATACCTCATCACCAAGATCACAGAGCCGCCGCTCCCGCCCACCGAAGCCGCCAAGTTCAAGGAAGAGTCACTGCGCTGGAAGAACAAACACGAGTTCCTCAATCTGCCATGGCAGCACATGGACGAATACAACCTCGCAATGCACAAGCCCAAGGTCCAATCCGAAGTCCGCCAGACACCACGAAAGACGTTCAGCTAGTTTGCGATGACGCGAAAACTTCGGATGACAAATTATATGGGAGCGGAAAACTGCCGCTTGACATGACGAACACGCAACCTCGCACCTTAGAAAACGAACCGCAACTAGTACACGCGCCGTCGGCAATCAGGTATATCCAGTTGTCACGCTATCCGGCCGCTGTACGATGATGGTACCATTATGAATATACCCCGCAGTGGGGTCAACGCGTCCCGTTGTGGTAGGTAGCTTACAGCTCCATCCGATCATACGTAACGTAACAGCGCCGTATCATCGAGCTTATCACCCACCTTGTAGTAATAGTTGGTGGATATGGGATTCGGCCTTGTCCTCGGCACGTATCTATTCGTCCCAGATAACAATTGATAGGTTGAGAGTTACTCTTTCCCCGCGTCTGTTGGCTTCATATACGTGACATTCCCCTCTCGCGACCGGACGCGTCTGCCCTCATTGTCTAACTTGCAGATTGTTTTTTTTCCTGTTCCTCTCAACTCCCAAGCTTGATACACCCCAAAACTCAACATGGGCAAAGAAGGGTTAAGATACGCGGCCAAGGTCTCGCTGGACAAACCGGCATCGGAGCAGGAATGCCTGCACGTACGTCAAATGCTCACAACACCCAAACTTGATCTTCAAAGATAACACTTGCAGAACCGTTGGCATCCCGAGAACCCCTCCTACGGCACGATCAAACCTGGTGAAGCCGTCAAGATTGAATGCGTAGATTGGACAGGCGGTCAAATCGGCAACAATGACTCAGCAGATGACATCCGTGACGTTGACCTTACCAAGATCCACTACTTGACTGGGCCCTTTGATATCGAAACTGCGGAGCCTGGCGACGTGCTAGTAGTTGATATCCAAGATGTACAGCCCCTAGAAGACCAGCCATGGGGTTTCACGGGTATATTTGCGAAAGAAAACGGAGGAGGGTTCCTGGATGAGCTTTACCCAGAACCGTAAGTTTGCGAGACGAACATCGCGTTTCGAGGAAACAATGGAGGAAGAGAAGAAATGAAGATTAACGCACGTACAGTGCAAAAGCTATTTGGGATTTCGAAGGCATCTTCTGCAGCTCCCGCCACATTCCTGGTGTTCGATTCGCAGGCCTAATCCACCCCGGCAGTAAGCAAACTTTCTGTCCACCTTCTGTCCCAATCGAACACAAGACTGATCACATTATCCACAATCTCAGTCCTAGGCTGTGCCCCTTCCGCCGAAGTCCTCGAGACCTGGAACACGCGTGAAGCCGAACTCATCTCGACGCACACGCACCTGGACCGCATCGTTGCACAACCACCACAGCCCCAAAACGCCCACTCCGGCTCCGCCACAGGTTCCGTAAAGGACAAAATCGCGAAAGAAGGCGCTCGCACGATCCCAGGACGTCCTGAACATGGTGGAAACTGCGATATTAAGAACCTCTCCCGCGGCTCCAAAGTTTTCCTCCCAGTTCACGTACCCGGCGCGAAATTCAGCGTAGGAGACCTACATTTTAGCCAAGTAAGCTCCTCCGCCCCACAAACCCTACCTTGAACAACGCGAACTAACACCTCTCCCTCTCTCCTCAAGGGCGACGGCGAAATATCCTTCTGCGGCGCCATCGAAATGGCAGGCGTCATCACCATCAAATTCAGCGTCATGAAGGGTGGCATGAAGCAGCTCGACATGAAGAGTCCCATTTACATCCCTGGTCCTGTAGAGCCGCAGTTTGGTCCCGGCAGGTATATCTACTTTGAGGGGTTTAGTGTGGATGAGAAGGGTAAACAGCATTATCTTGATGCTACGGTGGCGTATCGTCAGACTTGCTTGAGGGTGATTGAGTATTTGAGACGGTTTGGTGAGTTTACTTCTTTTATGGGTCTGTTTGCTTTTGCGAAGCTTTTGTGGGTTGGCCTGTGTTAGCCTGCCCTGGTGAAGTTCGAGGCTCATGTCTCGTTTGGTACTTCCAGCGTTCTTGACTCCTTGGCATTGGCTTTTTTCGTTTGGAGCAGAGATTGGCTGTCGTGTTTGTAGCGATGGGGGTTGGTTTTGAGTTTTGAGACGCTTTAGTCTTCCTGAAGATTGGTTACTGACTAGATTGCAGGCTACAGCGACTACCAGATCTACCTCCTGCTCTCGTGTGCCCCGATTCAAGGTCATATAGCTGGTATTGTCGATATCCCCAACGCCTGTACGACCATCGGACTGCCGATTGACATCTTCGACTTTGACATTAGCCCCCAGCTTCCAGCGGAGAAGCGCGATCTTGGGACGTGCGCGTTTGCTGGGAAGAAGTAGATGGTGTGTTTGTGTTGGTCTATGTGTGCAGAGCGTGTAGAGGGTTTGTGGGTTAAGTCTGAGGTTAGCGCAGGGTGTCCAGACTGCTTCGTTTTGCTGTCTGATTCAGTAGAATGTCACCGTATTCGAAGCAATCTCATAAACATGATGTGTTATATTGATCATCGGTATAGGGAAGATGGGGTATCCAATCTCCTCTGTGATAGACACCGTAGGCCAATTCTGAGACTGTAAGCAGACTGTGGTCGTCGTAGCGGATATTCATCCTAGCCTCTATCTGAAAACGTGTCGTGGATTGTCTATAGAACCTTGTCTGCCGCAGAGACTGTGTCTTATTAGCAAGCTGCGTTCGCTATTGATTAGTAGGGACTCATACCATTCAAGCCTGTGTTATCAGGCTCAACGTGCGCTGCTTTGACGGTTCCATTCTCGATGACCAGAGCATATCGCTTGGAGCGGTCACCTCCGAAGATGGATGCACCGTCGAAAGAGAGGTCAAGGGCCTTTGTGAAGCTCAGGCTGGGGTCACCGAGGAAGCGAATCTGAACAAGTCAACACAATATTCTCTTGTCTGAATGCGAACAACTCACGCCGCTGGAGCCAGATGGGTCGAGCATCTTACCCCAAGCTTTCATGACAAAAGGGTCGTTCACCGATACAACAAAGACCTTGCCGGCATCCTTCAGCTTGGAGGAGTTGATGTAGCCCGGGATGTGGTTCTCAGAGCACGAGGGCGAAAAGGCAGCCGGAACGCCTTTGCCATTGTCAAACACATGTTCACTCAGTCGACGCTAGGGGAAATTTACCGATAATCACACCCTTTCCGGACAACTCGTTGGCCAGGTTCACCTTGTTACCTGGCGAACCCTCGACGAGGTCAACGCTGGGCAGCTTGTCACCGACATTGACGAATGCAGGTGCTGAGGCGTGGAACAGACGTCGACCGGCGACTGGACGAACTAGGGGTAGACGGCGGACGGTAGCGAACATGGCGTGTATGCAGGTAGAGGTGCGTGTATGTGGGCGTGTGTGAAGAGAGCACGTGTGCACTTGGTGGTGGTGAGGCACTGGTGGTGGGGGTATTTCGGTCGGAAGACGGCAGGCGCGCGCACCGGCCGCGTTCCACTTGACGTGTGCACCTTGTCCCCGAAGTATGCAATATCGGAACACATGGCAGCATCGTGTCCATAAATAAGAGCTGTATATGCAGGTTAGTCTCGAGTGCAGCAGCAAATTGCGGATAATGATACTGACCCATTCGACCCACACCGGTACTAGCGCAGCCCAACTGCACGCTTGCTGCTGTATGCCGATCGTGCCTCAAGCCGGTGGTGAATCGTCAACGGCGTAATCAGTGGGGACATGGGTTGCAGAAACACGGAAAGATTGGCTGGGACAGCCACGCCCAGCGTACCATGGTCGCCCAAAAAGGACTGCAGGTACTATGGCCGCGCTCGCGATGTGTGTGCGGTGTGGAAACGGGCTGCGACTCAGTCTGCCTGTGGCCGTGTCCCGTGTCCTGTCATAGCAGCAACCCCCTGGCTCGTCTCCTCGGCACGTCGCCCGCTTGGCTTGCTCCTAGCGCATGCTCGACTGCATTCCTCTCGAGCCCAGTGTTAACCTGCTTTAGGCCCGTTTAGCTCCCAAGTGCCCGCGCAGAGGTGCCCATGTCTCCCTGTTTCTTACACTTGAAGGTTCCAGATCTCGTCCATCGCCCTCCGTCCGCCTGCAACACGGCGCGCCCTTTTTGGGAAATTTCGTCATCGCCCATCCACCACCGATCCGCCCCCGGCCAAGCAAAAGTTTAAACCACTCCAACGCGCGACCGGAACCTTGCGCACCGTCCCCAGTAGCTCCATCGCGGTCGCCCCAGTGGTGAAGACTGTGACTGGATTTCAGCAGACCCTTAGGCATCCATTCGACTATCTGGGTGCCGTCGCGCATCAACACGGATCACCACCAGCGGCATCTACGCCCACAACGCAGCCCAATTCACCATCATGGATCCCAGCCAAGCCGGTGGGGGAGGGTCCAACAACTCCAGCGACTTTGTGCGCAAGCTGTACAAGTAGGTTGACGCGCCCATGCGCGCTGTGCTTCGCGCTGAACGTCATCTAGGATGCTGGAGAACGGGAGCGACGAGAGTGTAGTACGATGGGGAAATGACGGCGACAGTTTTGTCGTCCTGGAAGTATGCGCCTCGGGCCTTCAATATCGTGGCAGGCTTGCTGACCCAGGAACAGAACGAGAAGTTCACAAAGCACATCCTTCCCAAGCACTTCAAACACAGCAATTTCGCCAGTTTTGTCCGCCAGCTGAACAAGTACGATTTCCACAAAGTCCGTCACAACAACGAAGAAAATGGACAATCACCTTATGGACCTGGAGTATGTGGTATTCCTAGATGCGTCTGCGGGTATCGTGGCTAACAGCCCCATAGGCCTGGGAATTCAAGCACCCCGACTTCAAGATGAACAACAAAGACGCGCTCGACAATATTCGTCGAAAGGCCCCCGCGCCGCGAAAACCGAACCAAGCTGCCGCGGAAGAGTTTGCGCCCTCGCAACAGATGGACATGGTTAGCGGACAATTGATGGCCACGCAGGCTCAACTGCATGCGCTCGAGAGTCGCTATAGTGAACTGAGCATCCACCATTCAATGCTTTTGCAAGAGGTTATCGGGCTACAAAAGACGGTTGTCAACCACGAGCATGTTATGCAGCAGATCATGACTTTCCTACACGGGGTTGATGCGACGCAAAGAAGGAACAGCAAGCTCGTTTTTCCCAACGGCACCGACTCGCAGAACGGCAGCATGGAGCCCGCCGCAGCCAACGATGACGATAACCCCGCTTCTCCATTGCAGCACGCTTCTAAACTTCTAAGCGAAACAAACGCAGATGCTATGCTGAACCCCCGAAACCTGGAGCAGATGAACGAGATCACCATGCGGATGAACGGCACTTTGACAACCCCACCACCAGATATCGCTCGAGCAACACTGCGACCGACGAGCCGCGGACCGCCATCAGCAACTTCTACCGGCTCAATGCGTCTGGAAAACCTCGATAACCTCGTTTACCCTGTCGGTTCCAACCAAGGTATCGACCCCATGTACAGCGAGCACATCAACAACATTCCCTATGCTGCCCCGCCCAAAGCAGTAGAATCCAGCGAACCCAGAATGCCAGAGCCAAAGAGGAAAAATGCTATTCCAGACCCAGGATGGATTCGACCGCCTCAGATTTTACTCGTTGAGGACGACCCCACCTGCCGTCGAATTGGAAGCAAATTCTTGTACGCTTTTCACTGCTCCATCGACAGTGCTGTAAGTCATCTACTCTCGTCATTTGTACGCCATGCTAATTGAACCCAGCTCGATGGTTTGGAGGCTGTCAACAAGATGAACGCTGGCTCAAAGTATGATCTTGTCTTGATGGATATCATTATGCCAAACCTGGACGGTGTATCAGCATGCCACTTGATTCGACAGTTTGACACGACACCGATTGTTGCTATGACTTCCAATATCCGGAGCGACGACATCTCCATGTACTTCCAGCATGGTAAGAGATATTCATTCATTTTCAGTCTCTGTACTAATATCTTCAGGTATGAACGACGTTCTCCCCAAGCCGTTCACCAAGGAAGGTCTTCTACACATGCTAGAGAAGCACCTTGTTCATCTCAAAAAGCCAGTCGCTCAGGCTGACGGGACTATGGTGGCTCCCCAACCTGTGCAAATAGCACGCCAATTGGTGCTCAAAGAGGAAGATTCTCCAGCCAAATCTCCACAGACGGTCAGCAACTGGAACTCACCCAACCAAATGCCGGGCGTCTCCCCTGTAGGCAGCACAGTCCCGGACGATTTTGCGCAGGCAATGCGAGGCCAGCCAGTCCAACACCCAGGTCCATATGGAGTGAACCCCATGCATGGGAACATGGGATACAGTACCTCACCACACATGCAAATGCAACAGCAGCAACAATCACAACTAGCGCCGGGTCACCGCCGTCAAGTCTCGGAAATATCTGGAGGCGATGATATGAACAATCCAGCAAAGCGTCAACAAATGTACCCTCCCCAAATGCCACAGCAGATGGGGTCCATGCAACCACGCCCACGTTGATAGCAGGTGCAACTATACGTTCAGGCGGTCTCGCCAATCAAGCCTCACAACGAATGTGATGCAGCCACGTCTTACAGGATGACAGGTGTTGAGCATATGTTGTACTGCTGGACAAAGGCAATCCAGCCATTTTCAGGGCCGATAGTCGTGATCGGCTCTTGTATCTACAGGAGAAAAAGGTGCAAGAATAGGATAGCTCAGGGAGCTGTCTGTCAGGGTATTTTAGGACCTGCAAGTCTGAGGCGTTCAAGGTCATCTATCCATTGTATCAGGTCTGGGTTGGACGGTTGCTAGAAAAATACCCTACTTGCTAGATAAACAATTATATTCTTCTCTCGAATATAGGGAGGTCAAAGTAGCCAACGTCAAGGATATCTATACTACTTAATTTTCGCACTTCCCTCATTGTGGGCTGTCTTGAAAAAACTGATGATTACTCATGTCTCTGGATATCAGAAATCTCTGACAGCAGCTACTGACTCTAAAGCTGTTCGTGTAGAGCTACAGGTCTCGCTTTGCATGCCAATCTTGGTCATTCCCTCCAGGTGCAAGTGTCGTCGCAATAAGCATTTCCGAGCACATGTCTGCCCTGGTGGTCCAGACCTTGATAGCCAGCCCAGAAGGCCGCGCACGAGCATGTTCGAGAATCATGCGCAGCGGCTTACCCGCAGAGCCACCCCGCTAAAGGATCTGAGACGTGACAGAGACCCGAAGATCTGGTAGGCGTGGTGGTCCCTGGTCGGGGGCTTGTGACTCAGCGGTGGTGGTCAGTTAGTGGGAGCTTTTTGGAAGTCGTAGGCCAAACCCCTCCACGTGCACCACGAATCTAGAATTCTAAGCGCCCCTCGAGCTTTTGCGCAACACACTACC